AAATAATAGCACAATTCTATACACCAAATAGCTATCTTAAAAGCTTTTCTGAAATCAATCTCACACCGTAGAATCAACAATATTCCAAACATTACTTTCTTTGATAATCAAATTCTATTAAACAATCTAAAAATACAATACTATATGTACGTCATAAGTTTTATATAATTTATCTATCTATTATTACATAGATTTATAGTATACGCAGACAAACTTTTATTTACAGTAGTCACAGAACAATTATATTGTCATACGTTTAAATGAAGTATGTCACAAAAGCGAAAATGAGAAAGTTGGACAACTAGTGGGATTATTTTATAATTTATAAGTTGAAAAAAAAATCAAAATACATTACTTGTGTGATTATTGTCTGTGTATCACTTTATGATTTAAGATTCAACTGGACGTATTTCTAAAAGAAAAGATACAAAATAAACAAATAAAGACACTAAAAACATGGTAGTAATCAAACGAAGTTAACCGAATGGACGATGATTTCGAGCGAAACCACAATTACAAAAAAAAAAGAATCTACGTGTTAACGATTTTATTATTGTTAATAAGTTACTGATATTTATTACCAAATGATTAAATATGTGATAAAAGATTATATTATATATACATATATAAATATTATATATATACATAAAAAATGATTTAGTAGATTTTAGAGATGACGCGTAATTTAACGTGACATGCGAGTGAAAGAGAAACAGGGAGAGAGATAAGAGTAGGAAAATGATGAGCGACATTGAGAGAGGGACAATGGGCCAGATTTAACTCAAATTTTCCAGAAACTCAGTCAATTGGACGTTTCGGTCGACGAACAATTTGATTGTTTGCTCGCAATGATCCTTTGTCCGTTTCGATATGCGTCGAACGCAGGACCTATGGGCATTCACAAAATGCGAGCTTTCGAATATTAAAAAAAAATTTTTTTCGTAACGGAGCAATTGACTGAGTTCTCTTTTGATTTTTTTAGATGACAATGGCAGTCTGTGTAAAAATATACCTATGTTAGATGTAAAATATACATGGATATAAGACACACGCGTAGCGTCAACGATGGTTTATCAAACATTCACGCTGGAATAATAATGAAAAAAAAACATACGAATCAAACCTATCCTATAAACCTACATGCGGGACCAATCTATTTCTTTCTATTTCTTGCTCGATACGTGCTATTTCGAAAATTCGCTTGTACATTTAGGCTATTTTTTATATTACTCGTTTATTCACATTTATTGTCGGTAAAAACTTTTAACACATCTCGAGCTTCGTCGAATCTACAACTGTTTAAAAAAAAACTTTTCTTATTCAAATATAAATTCTGTTGCTTTTCAATCAAGTCCTATGAGAAAAATCCAACTATCCTGTACGAGAATTACATTGCAGCGTGAAAATTATTGAGAAGAAGTGATAATACCTATATAAAACAATAAAAAAGTAAAATAATCAGGTACTTTGCCAAATTAAATTGACAAAAAAAAATAATGATCAAAAATATTCTTTGCCATTACGAAGATGAGTCGCTCGCAGATTATTTAAACTTCACTTTCAAAGACTTCCAAGTATAATCAAAATAAATGCGAATGCAAATTTTTAAGATTTATCCGATCAAAAATCACGAAATATAATCAGTAGTGACATTTAGCCAGTAAGATGGAATTATAGCATTTTTAACGGGAAATTTTCAAAATCTTTTACTGTATACTATACCACAAGCATAGCTAGATGAAGGATAAAAAAATAAAGAACAAAATAATCCGCCGCAACACTCATATACATATCACTTTCAAATAAAAAAAAACCAACTATAGCGTGAGAAACGAAGGTGACGATCTGTCTGCATGCGTCGACAATGTAAAGAGTCCATTGCCAAATTAGAAAATTATAAAATCAACAGAGTCTCTTTTGCGAAATATCTTCGAAGGAATGATAAAAATGTGTGAATCTACAAAGAATAATAAAAAAAAACAATTGCGTCGGCTCATGGCAACATGATGATTATATGAATTACCGAACCAAAAATAAATAAACGTTTGTATAATATGATACTGAAATTTTTTTTCATTGGCGTCACTAACATTTTATTTTGTTATTTTACTTTTTGTTCAGTTGATCATCTCCAATGATCCATCAAACCGATCCCATACCAATTCTTCTAATACTTTGACCACTGACACTTTCGAAAAATTGATGAAGTACAAACTGGAGCATCGATTGATATCTCAGAAGTGTCTTTGGATTTTGAAGCGAGAGGTAACGTCTTAATTTTTATTTTAAACTGATATAAAATTACTATTAAATAATGCATTTTACCTATTATAGTAAGTTTGAAAATTTATCATTATAATATGTGAGTAAATTCCGAAATGAAATGCATTATGTGATGTCCTAGAATTATGTTTTTTTATTCTTTGTTCATGACCTGAACCAGAAAACACTTGTGTGAATCCCTTCCTCTCTCTCTCCCGCCTGTCAAAAGTGCAATATATTTCGGAACTTACTCATATTGTGTAGCGATAGACTTTTAATTTATCGCAGTTTAGCTTAAAAATATTTACTTTGCCGTTTGCCATAGGATAAAATTATGCGAATATAATTTGTTAAGCTTGCTCCATTGAAATCAACGAAAACTACGACGATCACACTGAAGCAACCGCTGCTACCGTCACCTGATCACAGTCGCGACTGCGCGTGCATGCGCTTGCCGCCGGACAGCAAGAAGGCGGAAACTCAACAGGTCGAATGCTTGGATCTACGGGTACCGGTGAGGAAAGCAACGACCAACGACAAAGAAGTTGAATGGCCAGACTCGTCTGTCGATAAAGCCCAAGAAGAGCCCGAGTATTCATAGTTTATACATGCGGATATTTTGTTTGAGTTTCTAAATGTTAAGGCGTATTTTTAATATTTGAATATAATGTAAGTATCAACCGTCGATAAGCAATGCGATCGACCGAGATTCCGTGCAATAAACGTACCGTCATACGAACCGAAGAGTACATTTGTTTTCATGGGTTACGCAGGCAGTAGCCATGTCAATTCGCGAAAGTTCGACTGCCAACAAATATTCTTATCTCGTTTAGTGAAGTGCTAACAGCCAGCAGGACTGTGGATTTATTCCGACGACCGATGCAATCTGCCGAGAGAAAGAGAGAGAGAGAGAGAGAGAGAGAGAGAGAGAGAGAGAGAGAGAGAGAGAGAGAGCAACAGCAACAGCAACAGCAACATCTTGATCCATACGCACGTGTAGCGGCGAACTCTCGGTTGCCTAATGAGTGATCCTTGGCGTTATAAACGTTTACGGCATCGGTGGAGTATCAGAAGAGCCAAGGAAGATTTCGACGATCGCGCGAGTCGTAAAGTTGTCTGCGTCGCTTCTGTTTGAAACTTCCGGCCAGGCGAGCGCGCGGCAAAGGGTCCAATTCGATCGCTTCACAATACTAAATGAGCTCGTAAACGCGGAGGATTGTACCTGTTATCGAGGCAGAGCATTATAAGTAGAAAGCAGTGTACGAATAAAAAGGAGCGATCGACGAAATTGAGACGTGTTCGTTCGTCGGGAGAGTTGACTAATGAAAGCGAGGCTATATAGTGCACTTGCTGTAAAACCAGGAATTTTTATGACGATCCTTGTTTGACCCGAAAAGGGCTGCACTACTGCTATTGCTGCCGCCGTCGTATCGCCGGATCTCCTGTTTGCTCGAGCATTGCTTGTTTGCGGAGGTCAGATCTAAGAGAGCGAAGCGATTGTGTATATATACACTGCAACAGTGCATCTCTTTGGCGGTCGCGGCGATTTTCAGGACTCTCGCCAGGTTTTTCTTCGCACGCAGATGATGCTTCTGCTCTGTTGCAATCCTTTTCCAATTTCCGTCCGATTACTTTTCAGATCTTCTTTTCGCTATGTAAACTTTTTTTGCTCGGGAAAATTCGTTAAGTTCCACGTTTCAAAAGTTTTTAAGTTTTATTTTTCAAAGTTCGCACTTACGATGATTCAGTTAAACCATTATCGTAGAGTTATTACAAACGAAGGAATTTTCTAAAGCTAGAAGGGAAGAGGTATCGGGCATAACAGAAGAACCATTGAAAAAATTGAGCAACAAAGAGCTCGAACTCGCTCTTATCTGACAGACGCCGATTTCGCTCTACCGAAAAATCGAAAAATAAGTACGGCAAATACAGCGGTACCTCGCTCGCGTCTTCTCCAACGAAAAATGCGCGCTCGTGTTGATTTTCCTAATTAGCATCTCGACGTTCCCGAGGGAGGTTCGTTTTGATTTCTCTTTTTGTGGGTGGCCACGCAAGAGGAATGACGCATCGCGCGCCGTACCGATTTCGCGTCGAAAACACGCCTAATCTTTTTTTCCCACTTTGTCAATTGGCTCGGTTTTTTATCGCGAATTCGTGGTCACGCGCCAAAATTGTGCCTTTCGTAAACACTTTATGATTCGATGCTAAAGGAGCTTACCTGTTCGTCTGATCGACGAGACGTCGAACGCTTGTCGATTGGCAATCCAACAGAACGTACCGATGGCTTGCACTTTGTTGTCACTCGAATCACCCGAAGGCCCGTGGAAGCACCGTGGAGCAGAGAAGAACGCGCGCGAAGAAAAATAAAAAGAAAAGAAAAAAGAAGAAGGCTCAAAGCGGCAAAGCGAGGCCTCGCGACAGCGAAATTGCGCCGAGAAGTCGGTACTGGCGGAAAATCGACGAAAAATCCGCGGGTTCGAGCGGCCTGGCGCGTCGCGTCGGCCGCGTAGAAGGCGGGGCCCGAAGCGGTCAGTCAATTGGCTCCACGCCGGAATGGACCCTTGGCCAATGGCCGTTCGGCTGCGTCGGCAGACAAATGGCCACGGACGTTCGGTGTTAATTAGCCGAGAGGAAGGCGAGCCGTCGATCCGGCGGGAGGGAGGGGGGAGGGGTTTCGACTCGGCGTAGCAGGCAGCCGCCGAAGACACAGTCGCGGCTGCTCCGCTGCGGTGTGAAATATCGCGATCTGGTGTTAGCGGCAGGGTGTGAGTGGTGCGAAAAAAAACAGCCGTGCAGCGCTCTCGTGTGCGCGCGTGCGTGTGTGCGCGCGCGACGATGCGACTTCCCTTTTTTTCTGTTCGCTCTCCGGTAGCTGATAATTGAGAAATCTATCAAAGGAGGGGAGGCTAAAGCGCAGGTAAGAGTCGCGCGCGACGATTTCTCTCTTTTTTTTCTCTCTCTTGAAGAGTCAGTGTGTTCGCCGTCAGCACCTGCTGTCTTAATATATACTTTGTTAATTGGTTTCATTGATGAGCAGTGACAATAAATCGCGTCTGCAGAGTTGTTAGCTCGCGGCAGCGAGATCTAGATGCATGCGCAACGCTCCAAATTATGTTTTTACAACGTTTCAACGTGTGCAATCAATTCACGATCTGACTGTGTCGATTGTACATAGTTACGCTGGGGACGATCTTTTAAAATGTGCGCACTTTGTTCCGTCACATTTTATTAATGTTGCACAAGTTTAGCGTGTTAATTTAAGATATTATAGTTTTAGTATCCATTTCTAGAGTGCTATCATAACATATTTTTATACTTTAGAGTATAGATTAGAAATTACTTGATTATTTTCTAGCACTTTATTCTCGACCGAACCAGCTGTACAAATGGTACATAGGCATGTACAAAGAAAATTGATAAAACGTGAATTTGATAAATGCGACTCTGATAACTGTGGAAACTGGCAAGGAAGAACCTATTTCGACGCATATCTCAAAGACACGTCTGCTGCAGCTTTTTTCCGTGAACGTCAGACATTCGTTGACCCGTTGCTGTCTGTCTTTCAACAGCCTGCGAGAAATCGAAGCCGATTGGTTCAACGGCAGCAGCCAAAATGCAGACAATAGCGTCGGGCGCATCGCCGCAAGCCGACGCCGAGCAGGAGAAGCGCGACGTGGACGACCGCGACGCCGACGGTCTGCATCAGCAGCACTGCGACGCGAACGGCCAGGTTTTATCCCTGGCGTTGGAGGATCGCGAGTTGTGGACGCGTTTCCAATGCATCACCAACGAGATGATAGTGACGAAGAACGGCCGGTAATGACAAAAATAAAAAAGAAAAGAACGAAAAGCAGAACTGATGCCATTATTTCCGAAAATTGATACAAGTCGACGGCTCGTAGCGCGCGCAATAAAAGTTTTACAAGCGGTCGGCCGGCCGCCGACTGCCGGTCTTTGCTTATCTTTGAAGTGCCGCCGTATGCCATTAGTCGAGGCTCGCCTCCAAACAATCCGTTTATGGGTCTGTGTGTTTGAGTTTTACAGACGAATGTTTCCCGTGGTGAAGGTCATCGCAAGAGGGTTGGAACCCGGCGCCATGTACACGCTGCTGCTCGAGTTCGTTCAGGTCGATCCCCACAGGTGAGTTTCACCCGCGGCTCGTCGCGCGATTCACTTCGAGCTTCGGCAAAAGCGTCTGGCGACATTGAAAGTGGTTTCCGATTGCGAATCGGTTGCACACCTGTTTCTCTTCGTGCCGGCTTGTCGCGGCATCGCGCCCCTGTCGTGGAAACGTATCGGAAACTCGGTGTTATCCAAGTTGGAAGGAGAAGTCGCACGGTGGTGTGTAACGCGGGCAAATGCTTCGCAGGTGGAAATACGTGAACGGCGAATGGGTGCCGGGTGGCAAGGCTGAGGTCGCACCGCCGAACCCAATTTACATTCACCCGGAAAGTCCAAACTTCGGAGCTCACTGGATGAAAGAAGCCGTGTCTTTCGCCAAAGTCAAGCTCACGAACAAGTCCAACGGCAATGGGCAAATTATGCTGAATTCGTTGCACAAGTACGAGCCGCGCGTACACCTCGTTCGGGTGGGCGCCGAGGAACAACGCACGGTAAGAAGAGCAATCGAAAAAAGTAAAAGGGTAAAAGGCGCACGATCTCGCTCCGATATCGTCGCTGCGCTGCGGCCGATAAGTGACAAAAATAAAGAATAGATAAAGAGAAAGCGTTGCTTGTCGTGCGAGGAGCAGGTTCTCACCTACCGATTCCCGGAGACGCAGTTCATCGCAGTGACGGCTTACCAAAACGAGGAGGTGACCAGTCTGAAGATCAAGTACAATCCGTTCGCCAAAGCATTCTTGGACGCGAAGGAGCGGCCGGCCGATCCTCAGACGTACCCGCAGTGTGAGTAAACGTCGGCCCGTCGAGGATCACCCCCTCCTCGCTTTTCCGACAAAAAGGCGTGCGCCGACTCTCGCTGTTTGCAGACGCGGGAGCTTGGTTTCTGCCTCAGCCGACCATCAATTACGACTACGGAGCGGTGACCCAGGGCCAGACGCCAAGCGGGCCAGCCGCTGAATTGTCGTCGGGTTGCGGCGCTGCGCCGAGTAGCCACAAGGCTACTTGCCGGCCCGCGCCCTATGCTCTGAGGCATAAGTACATCCAGGACGGTAAGCCAGTCGTTCGTGGTGCATTCTCGCGAGGCTGACGAGCGTCCGATCATGTCGATTCGTTCGCAGAGCAACCGGCCGATCCGTACGCGCCGCTACCGCTGCTCCACTCGAGCGCGTACGTGGGCGGCTGGTCGCCACGTAGCCCCGAGCAATCTCAGCAGCAGCAACAGCAACAGCAGCAGCAGCAGCAGCAGCAGCAGCAGCAGCAGCAGCTGACTGTCCTGCAAGCCAATCCAGCCTCGTTGACGCAAGACTGGCCGTCGTCGCCCTCGCCCTCGCCTACCTCGTCTTACCAAGCTCTTAATCATCATCAAGCGGTCGCTGGAAGCTGCTCGACCTCGAGCCTCGCCCCGAGTCCATCGCTCTACGCGCCCGCCCCGACCGGCCAAGATCAGTGCGCGCCCGATCAACAGCAAACCACCACGTGGCTACATCCAAGCGTGTCCGAGCAGATCCAGCAGCATCAGCAGCAACAGTCCTACTTGAATCTCAATTTGCATTTACACCATCAGATTTCGTACACGGTGAGTGCTTGCCTGCCGATCGGCGCGCGGGATTCTTCCGTTCCGCTGACTCAGGCAATGTTGCAGAACGGAAGTGCACTGCAGCAGGGCCTCCATCCTCAGGATTCGCCTATCAGTCAAGTTCAGGATTATCCTGAGTACCACTCTCATCACCATCACCACCACCACCACCACGAGGCTCAGCAGGCTCATCTGCAACATATACAGCAACTGCATCATCACCATCACCATCCTGGCGAAGCCGAAGCTGTCGGTTACGACGCGAAGGAAAGTCTCTCTCTTCATCATCACTCCGCTTTGAGCGCCGCGGGATATAACAGGGATGAGGACACGGAGACCGCTAGAACCGAGCACACGGTCAGCAAATAACTGTCTCTTCGTTCGTCGGATCGTACTTTACTTCTTTTCAAAAGCAACGTGTTGAAATTCTATGATTTGAAAATCATGCGGACAAAATTTGTTTAAATTCAAATCAGGTACCGGTGGATCGAAGATTCCTCAGTCCACCAGGAGTGATCGAGCATCATCGGCAAGTGCAACCCCCTCAAGAGGAGCAGCAGATCGACGAGCGACAGCAGCAGCAGCAGCAGCAGCAGCAGCAACCTCAATCGACTTGGACACCCCTTACCCCGCCGCCAGCCCCGCAAACCACGGCTATTTGATGCCGATACTTATTTGTATTTGTCATACACAGTGAGATTTGCAATGGGTTTGTGCGTATTGCAAATGTCGTACTTGGATTTATATTCACAGAATTAGAGATTTATATTTGGATCGCAGCGTTGATTAATTTTTCCTTTTGCGTTGTTCGCTTTGCGTGTTAAAAATCAAGTCGAATCGTAGGTATGTTTTACTTCAGTCGAACAGTTTCCTTTAAAAATGAGTGTTAATATACTATTCCGTCCATTTTAGAGGAGCACTTAGGCGTGAAAAAAATTTTTACGTTGATTCAGCTCTGTGCAGCGAGAGTCTGAAATGATCAACTGTGTAAATATTTTTGAAATATAGACCTAATCTCGTAATATCTTGTTTCACTTAATTTTTAAGCAAATGCAAAAGAAAATCTGATTGATCATTCTTAAGCTTTATTATTAGTTTAGCTCTTAATTTTTTTATATAAGTAAATCAGGAATCACTTAGATGGTTAGAAAGTGACTGCGCATTCTGCAGAGGTAATCGATGATTCTGCAAGTAGACGGCACGATCATCGGATCGAATTTTTTTCAAATAAAAAATTATATATATTACGGTAAAAATATATTTTTTGATGTGAAAATATACAAAATAAGAAAAGATCAATAATATATCATAATGATGGAATTCATCAAGTTCTATTTGTAAAATTGTTCAAAATAATTAAATAAATAATAATCAATAAAATTATTTCTGATAAACTTTAACTGATAAATTTTAACTTATCAGATATAAAACAGATCTCATTTATAAATGAGATGTAATCTTATGAAAAGCGAAAATCCCTTCACTGCGTGCCACTCCTAAAAAAATAGTTTTCTCGCACAGCGTGCGCAAAGTTCGATTTTGCGCACGCTTTTCCGTGTGCAAAACCCTTGATTCCCGTACGCTTATCGTAACACGGAACTGCGCATGCGCAAACCCATTCCCGCACGGGGAAATACTTTGCGCACGCTAACTGCGTGGGGGAAATACTTTGCGCACGGAAAAAATGCGTCAATGCCTACAAAGTTTAACGAGGGAATACTGGGGAAGATACATTTTTCCCGATTACTGTAATTGGCGAAGACAAATTTTCGCCAGTTACTGTAATTAAGGAAGATAAATTTTCTCCAATGAAAAAAATCTAGGAAAAATCAATTTTATTTTTTATCTCCAGACATATTTATGATTACATTACAGTTATAAAAATTTAATGTAATTTAAATGTTTTTAAATTTAATGTTTATTTAAATCTATTGTATTTGCCAAATTTATTTCTGTAGCACCTTTTGTTTAGACATTTTTGTTGAATTGAAAGGAACTAGAAAGGACAAACGCGAAAGGACAACTGCCAAATTTGTACTGGCAGAATGTTTTCCGTCGGACCTCAAGAACATAGTTTTTGAATTTTCATTTTTAAAAATGAGTTGCGTGGAGTGGGAAAGGACTTCGTTTTCCCAATATTTTTCGCTATCTACATTGTCAATGGGGAAAAAAAATGTTTTGCGTGTTTTTCCACATTTATTCCTTAATTATAAAACCTTCTTTTTCCACCCATCTCACAAATTCAAAGTATAATCGAACTTTTCGCATCTCGTACGAGAAAATAGTATACGATACGCGTGCGAAAAGTAGGCGATCATGCACGCGCGTTACCGACCTCGCTTCGCTCGGTCGGTAACCCTCGCGCGTGCGGGAATCGCCTACTTTGCGCACTTGTATCGTAATGTACTATTTTCGTTTATTCATATATATTAGCATTGGTGTTCTTGCCGACTTCGTCTGCTCTTTCAAACAGCTGACTGGAAACTTGGAGCAGTAGTGGTCCGTGGAGCATGCGCACTACTGCGTGTACTCCCGACTGTAAGCCACGGAAGCCTCGTCTCTACGCTAGAACAATTTTTTTATTTTTAATTGCTAAAATAATAAATTTATCTTTGATTTATTCTACGTTTTATTTTAGCGATTTTATTCGTGAGATGAACTAACGATCAACACTCGAATATCACAATCTTACCGGCATCGACGGCATCTTAGTAAAGTCACCGCCATCTAGTAAACTACACCAATTTAGTTTAGTTGTCTGGTTATGGTTGTCTTATATATATGATATGAACTATTTGATATTAGGATTTGATATTTTGATCGACTCATCGTTTATCCACCTGTTTCTCAGATTTCATGAAGTGTTTGTTTAGTTTTTACATGTTACTTTGTTTCATTCTGTTTGCTACTTTTGTCTATAACAATTTTTTTATCTTTACACTTGATGAGCTTTGTGATAATTAAATATTTAAAATCCGTAACATTGCAATCATTAAAATGGATAAAAATAATGTACCCGATGAATTGAATGAAGAAATAAATGAACAAATCCGCAGCAGAATCGAAAAAAATAAACAAAGAGCTTTACTCTTGAGAAAGACTAAAGTTGTATCTCATCCTCACACAAAAAGGTAAGCTAAAAGTCTTTCACGTTAAGCAGTAATTAACACTAATATATTCATATATTTTTCAGTGATAACGAACATGGTGTGCAAAGCAAAGTCATTAAAGTTTCAGGACAAAAGGTTATTGATAGTGGAGCTGGTTTTCTTATCGAAGAAGATGATGACTTGGAAGCTGCGATGGTATGTTATTATGAATTATGTTCACCAAGTTATTCCAGAACAGAATATTAAGATTCCAATTTATTGCAGTGCTCTATTACAGCAAATCCAGCTCCAATTGTTAGTACGCTTCCTGTTTGCATAGAATGTAGTAAAGAATTTAAAGATTCATACCTTCTGCAAAAGTTTGATTATGTAGCTTGTGATAACTGCAGGTTCATATTTTTCAATGTAGTTTAAAAACAAATTATCTGAGCTTGTGATACTATCACTGTATTTTATATTTGCAGAGATAATGATGGTAAACATTCTTTGATCACAAGAACAGAGGCTAAACAAGAGTATTTATTGAAAGACTGTGATCTTGACAAACGAGAGCCACCACTGAAGTTCATTTTACGTAAAAATCCTCATAATATTAGATGGGGTGAGATGAAACTTTACCTTCAGATTCAGATTGAGGAAAGGGCTCTACAAGTTTGGGGTAGTGAAGAAGCACTTATAGAGGAGCGTGAAAAGCGCGATGTCAAGCGTCAAGAAACAAAAATAAAAAAATTCAACAAGAAAGTAAAACGGTTGAGAATGGAAGTTAGGAGTTCTTTATATGACAAGACTCAAAAAGCTTCTCATACGCATGTTTATGGCGATGACACTTACAACAGTGATGATGATACCTATACACATACATGTACAGAATGTGGATTTGAGGAAACTTATGAAAAAATGTAGTTATATAATTTTGTAATTATTTTTATAATGTATTTATATGATGAATAATTCTTTGTCCCTAGTATCCAATGTTAAGATATCTCATAAGACATTTTTCTACTTAAATTAAAGAGCATAACTAAAACACAATCTTAATTAATATTTAAGATTTCATTTAATTAATTAAAACACAACATTAATGTAATTTATTAATTTGAAAGTACAACAAGTAAAATATAAGTCCAAATCATAAAGAATACAATGTTTTTTTAATTCGTTCTCTTAAAGTACATTTTTACACTACTGTTGTCTTTACTTAACAGCATAGCATTATTTACACATTTACATTTTTATCTTATGAAAACTTGAACGTTCGTAGTCAACAAACTTAATGAATATTGCAGACTCCAATTTCACATACAAACTTCCATGCACTTTCACGGAAAAAGGTCACAAAATCCTGTATTAATATTTTAAATTTAACACTACTCACGCTCTTGAAATTAAAGAATAAAGAGAAATTAGACAACTAATTATCAATTAAACGTATACACGATATATTACGCCCGTCTTCTACGTAACTACCTACGAGATAGAGCTATGAAAAAAAATCAATAATCAAATAAGTGAATTCCAAAACATCTCTCGAGAGAAACGGCCAAAATTGATAAAATATCGCGTATATAATACTCGCTAAAAACAAAGATGCGTGTAAAAAAGAACGTCAGGCTTTGGCAGCACTCGCAGACACATGCTGGAAGACTTGTGATGTTTATAAACTATAATTATTATCATGTTCGATTCTTCATTTTTTCAACAATCGATAAGTCTTTTTGTTTTACAAGTTATACTCCTCGTCGCTCACTGACACAGAGCTTGCTCTCGATGGCAATCACAAAAAAGAAACACAAAAAATTGTTCTAAACTAGCGCTACGAGCCATGGGTTGCATTTGTACAGGTTGGCTGGAACGCGGGCAGCGTATTTGGCACAGTCAAGTTGATGCTTTGCTCTCGTCGTGGAGACGACATCGAGGTCAACACACTGGTTACTTTTGTTGTCGACCTGAAACGAGGAACAATTGTAAACGTTAATCTATTTGACTCGAATTATTTGAAAATAAATGCCTATCAAATGTATCACTATACTTTTCAATCTTACCTATTGTGCCTAAGATGGCTCTTGACCAGATGACCAGCCGTAAGCGCAGCCATGAGAGAAAGCTCACCGGCAAGCACAGCCGCGCAGACAATCCTCGCCAACTTATCTGCATTCTGTCCAGGAGTTTCGGCGTGAGCTCCTTTCACACCTAGCATAGCTAGGCAAGCACCCTGTGCGGGAAGCCCGGTGCCACCGCCGACCGTGCCAACTTCGATGCTTGGCATTGTACACGATACATACAAGTCATTGCCATCTGGACCCCAAGGCTCCATGAGGGTCATGCAGTTGCTGCTGCCAACATTTTGTGCGGGGTCCTGAAATTTCAAAATTATTAGTTTTAAGTTCATAGAGACTGAGTGATCCATTTCAATCCGATATTCAATGTAATAACGTTCATTCAAGTTATTGTTTGTTAGATCAAATATTAGATGTTCACTCCTAGTGTTCTCATTTGCATTTATTTATTTAACCAGCAATATAAAAAATGATTACCAAAATATATTTACCTGCCCGGTGGCAATGTAGATAGCCGTCACAACGTTAGCGGCGTGCGCATTAAATCCTCCGATGCTTCCAGCAACCGCAGATCCGATCATATTTTTATTAATGTTCACGTCCACCAACGCATGAGTGGTAGTTTTCAGCACCGAAGATACAATTTCTGCAGGTACGATAGCTTCACAGACGACGCTTTTACCACGACCTTCGATCCAATTGACAGCAGCAGGTTTCTTGTCAGAGCAAAAGTTACCACTGAGTGAGAGAATTTCCATGTCGGGAAAACGTTCTTGAACTGTGTGCAGTGATTTTTCAGTTCCCTTCGACAGCATATTCATGCCCATAGCGTCGCCAGTTTTCGCGACGAAACGGATGAATAGTTGGCGACCAGCAATGCGAATTTGAATTCTAGTGAGACGAGCGAAACGACTTGTCTCGTCAAAGCTTGTTTTCATCTTGTCAAAATTTTCGGGTATTTGCATCCACGTCATCGCCTCGCTTGCACGCACTATATCTGGGAAACGCACCACCGGGCCTCTGGTCATACCTGGGGAGATGAATGGTTTGCTTGAGTAATTACGTGACGCACTTTCGGTAATTGCGTCCATTAGTAGGTCCATAGCAGATATATAATTAAGATTCACTCGTAAGCGTCTGTAAAGTGCTCACCATCGGCGACAACTCTGCTAGTAACTCCACAGCCAATGAGCGCTCTGCTTCCACGGTTCGTCGAAGCAACAAGACAACCCTCAGTCGTAGCCATTGGAATATGATAAAATTCCCCATCGATTTTCAGTGGGCCAGCGATACCAAGAGGAATTGGCACGTAACCCAAAACATTTTCACAGCAAGAGCCAAGAACTTTGCTGTAATCGTAATGGTGATAAGGAAGATCTTTGAGATCATCCAAGAAACCACCACTATTGCCGACAATGATGCGACGAATCCCCACGCCGCGTTCCATGTCGCCAACGGCTTTTTCGAGCTGATATGGTTGGATATGTCGGTGTTTCACGAGTTGAATGACCTCTGCGTCGGTTAAGGCATTAGCTCCCAGCTGAAAGGATGATATTGTGTCGGTTACAAATGCAACGACTACATGGGAAAATGAAAGTTTTATATGCAGACCTCTGAGCGATAAAGAGCTAGGCAGTCCTCGATACTTCTAATGGTATCCGACTTGGAGCACAAAGTCTCACTGCTGGAGCTCATCGATTCCAACATCTTATCCTCGGTTTGCACACTCTTGTCTACCACCTGAACATCAGCTTCACTACCAACTTCAACCCAGTCGGAGAACACTGCCGTTCTCGGTCTCATACTCATGGCTGCGAGCGTTGGATTCAATTCGTTTTCGACCTCGCTGCAATTCATTTCGACGTTTTTGCTCTCCTCGAAGCGAAGTTGCTGAACGATTTCACCCCCGCGATCCTCAAAGAAGATGAATTTGATCGCTAGTGCCAAGAGGAGGATGAGAATCACAATGTTGTCCGCACTCACGGACAGCCAGTTCATCAGGTAGCCACGGAAGTCGGGAGTTGCTTCGGTTTTATTGCGATTTGTGAGGAGGATGCCAGGGCTCACTTGAGACACCGTTTCGGCTATTTGCTCTTCGGCGTTCTCATTACGAAATGGCCAACGGCTGCAAAACATTTTCAATGTTACACAAATTTTATTGATACGTGTGAAAGAAATTATTTATAACTTGTAGTAACTTTCAATGCATGAATGAACCGTGATGATTGAAAAGAAAATAAATGGAGCTTCGATAATTATTCCGGCCTTGCCACCTTTTCATTCAACCCGTGAATCAAAGAAAAATTAATTCTAAAAAAATTACTCATAATTTTATCATATACACACATGAGGTAAAAAAAAATCAATTTATACGGATCGGAATAGCGCATTGAAGTTCGTCAAGCATAGCGTAGCGGAAAAAATAGAAAGGATCGACCGTGCAGAAAAAAAACATGTCAATTACAAAGCAAACGCTTTCTCAGCTAATGAATCAGCGCAAGTCTGGGAAAAGAGAATGGTTTCTTTTTTCTGTTTCTCTCTTTTTCTCGTCGTCAACTGCTTTTTGCTCGCGCGATGTTAAAGAGCGCATTCCTCGCTATGTGATTAACTTCAATGAGAAAAATAAAAAAAATTCTTTTTTTTCGTACGGTAGTTTCGTCACCGGTGTTTCTCGGAAATAGAAAATTCTATGCACTAAAGAATATCTATGCACTAAAGAAGACGCAGAAAAGAAAAGAAGAAGATACCGCTCACGGAAAAAGAAAAAACAAGTAAGATCTATCTTTGGTGGGCGAAACGAAAATACGATAATATTATGCCGCGAGCAATAAAGTGCCGAGTGACAGTCGAGCGAATAGTAAAACAAACACTTCACCGAAGTAGCAGCGCATTCGCGAAAACCGAGCGAACAGCCGTAGCGATTGCTGTCCATTTCCGGCGGGCAAACTGAAGCAACTGCGAGTCTCGCGCATCACATACTCGCGAGTTAGGCTCGAAAACCCTCTTGGCATGCAAACTAAGGCCTGCATCATACATTCATAAACGTACAGCATCTCATTTCCTCTTGGATATATGTCTTTTCACAGAGTTCCGATCAGATAAAACGCAAACGTTTTTTTCACGCATTCCCCCCCCCCCCCCCCCCCCCCCCCGTTAACCCTGACACCAACGCACGAGAAGGGGTCAGATTATACCGTCAGATAAGGATAGAAAAAGAAAAAAGGAAACGCTATGTGATCGACATTTCGCAAAACGTGAAGCATGGCGTAACGACATTAAGGCTGAAAGCGAAAGTTGCATGCGTGTTGTATACACACACGCACACGCACGCACACACACCTGTGCGCGTGTACGACGAATAAGCCGGCGATCATGATGAGCTTCAAACGTTCGACGACTGGATTTGGCTTTTGATCTTCTTCGTTCACCAAACTGCCGCTGCTACTGTGATGCATGTGTAGCTTGTTGTTGCTGCTACGTGAAAGCTGGAAAAATGAAAGTCAAGTTCGATTGCGTAAGTAAACTTCGGCTTTTTTTTTGCTCTTTTCGAGGAAGCTAAAGACTACTCTTAATGATGGATCGAGTTTAAAATGACTACGGCAGCGACCTCAACCTACTTGAACGATCTACGAAGCGATCGAAGGGCAAATACACGCAGGATCTTTTCTACGCTGTCATACTCTACACTTTCGGCATTTGACGGAGAAAACTTCACACTTTAAGCTGAATTTCTTTCCGGCGATCTTTCAATATACACGTGTACTTATTTGACACGCTTATTTCTCAAAAATATTGATTTCAAATACACTGCAGATAAAAAAAAAGTAAAGTGCCAACTAAGTTTTACTTTCTCGCGACCGCAACTACGAATGGTCAGAGAACAAGCAAAAGGAAGCTCACCTCGAGTACCAAGGACAAGCAGGCAGGATAGAAAGTCATGAAAACAACGTAATTGACGACAACGCCGAGACAAGCATATCCGCAGAGTATCTCCAATCGCCTGACACCCGACAAGGAGCCGATGCCGATCAATAGAATCTCGACGAGAGTGTCGAGGGTGATCGACGGACCAAGCAGCGACATGCCTCGAGCGATGTTGGCTCGCACCTCGTCCTGATTCTTGGAGTTGAGTGCCAGCTGAGCGAGCATGCTCGCCTTATTCAAATCAATCACCAACAGGAAAAAGAACAGAGCGTCTCTGTAATCGATTCCAGATATCAGATATCAGCTTACGAGTTCAATGAGAGCAATTACGCACTGTTATCTTATGGTTACTTACTTCAGATCAGAAATATCGCTGCGACCGAAGTTCAGCACGCTCGAGGTAAAGATGACACTTGAAAACATCGTGAAGAGCCCTGCGATTCCTAAAAATTGACAATGTCACAGAGTGTTAGCTTAGGTGAAGGAAAATGTAGGATCGTTAGCGCAGTTGGCGCGTCTTCGGTATTGTCTTCCAAACATCGCTAATCGACAAGCGTTGCGCAACCAACTGTTCAAGAATCTTGTAAAAGTCGCACGTGATCTACCGGTGCTTCGACCGTTCGTCATATCCATTCAAATTGTAACTCATAGTGACCTTCGTCACCATGTCCGACGAAGTGTTAATTACAAGTACACTCCTTGGCCACGCTAAAACATCCGTAAACGTACAACCGATTAATATCCAAGCTCATTGCGCGCAGTAAAATTCCTTCTCGGATTCTCCGAAAATGTCAAGGGCGCGTGCCCGTAGCTTTTCGATTTGATCGTTTTAGAAAGTGCGAACCATCTACAAATATTTGGTCCCGTTACGCACTCGTGACGCCCTTTTCCTGATCGTATAAGTGCTCACAGCGCAAACATGAATTTCAGGATTTTTTTTCTCGGAAATCGACAAAGAACGAAAAAAGATGCTAGTTTATTTTCAGCTCCAAGTTTTGATCCACGCATAGCTTTTGTAACATAAATTGCGCTGAACGCGTCAATTTCACTAGTATTGAGTTTTTATTACTGCAGTGTTAAAGTTGCCGAAGCTTTGCAAACATCGAAATTTTAAGCAAAATACAAACAAATCGTGATCCGCCGAATTCGAATTGGAATCCAGAACCGCGCTAAATATTTTCGTTCTTTTTTTTTATCGCATTCCAGGATGTCACGAAGAATCGCCGTTTCGTTTCGAATGAATTCGAGTTCGCCCCATGGACGATCACAGGGCGCGTCCTATTTGAAATTGTTGAAAAATCGAATCGATCGATCACCGCCGACCAGCTGAAAGCAAGCGTAGCAAGCGAAGAGCGCACCGGTTGCGAAAGCATCGGGCGCGCACGCGACACACTTGCGATGTCGCCTGTTCGTTATTAGGCCGTGCGCGCGCGCGCGCGAACCGGTTCTTCTCTTTTTCGCGCGTCGCGTATATACGTGCATAATTCGGTAATCGCCGGCGTACGTCCGCGGCTCGCGCCGAGGAAATGCCATCTCGCTTTCTATGAGTTTACTTTCACTCTCGGTCTGCTTTCGCTCAAGGTGAACTCCCATCGCGCGCGCGCGCGAGTTTCGGGCCGCGGTTAGGTAATTTTGCAGAGGAGCGGGCTACGCGTTGAGCGCGCGAAAGAAAAGAATGCAAACGCGCCGAGAGCCACTTCTGTGAATGGACCATCGAAATAACGCTGGCCTATTTTTAGCTCGGCGAGTAAGGCAAAAATTGACAGAGACGAAACATACCAAGGATATATTTGGAGCCCAAGTTCTGGAGATTGCGGAACTGGTGATAGCTGAAAAGAATCGCCAAGCAGCGTATCATTGTCATGAGGATGACGTCCGCGGCATTCAAGTCCTAGAAAGGAGAGAAAAATACATTTCTGCCGTTCATTGCTTATTGGGTTGCGCGCGCGCGCGAGTCTTTTGTTAAGTTCGCTCATTCATATATGAGGCGTTGACGTAATTTTACGCGTTGAGAATAATTGCGAAAGCCGGTATTGAGAGACGGACAGAGAGAAACGCACCACCCTCCGATAACTTGTCGACCGGCATGGATTAAGCTCGAATCTGTTATCTCGGGGCGATGATCAATCGCGCGCGAACTTGTTGACATTCGGCGCAGACAATGTCGTAATCGGATTCAATTCGATGTAAATGATCGTTGTTACTACAATTTACGATGATGTCAATCTTAGATACCGCACACTCGACTTTGCGCACTTTCCTCAAATTTCGGAACGGATCAGATAAATCGTGAATGGTAAGTTGATTGTGCATAGATTCTCATTATGGATTGCCGACGACTACTTATTGCGAATGACAAATTTGCCCGACGACAGCTATCGGTCCAAGTACGTCGACGCACCGGTTCGGTAGAGCAGCGTCCGTTCCAGCAATGTCCCGCCGGAGCAACGGGCAAACTCTTCGTGTCCCTCACCGCGGCCCCGGTCTCCATGTTGAGCATGCACGCCGTCAGGGTGAACGTAGTGACGATCACCTCCAGCGGGTGACCCGCGCAGAAGCGCCCGTGCAGCTCGAACAGCCGGTCCCACATTTTTCTTCTCTTCGTTGATTTTCACGCTTCCTGCAATCATTCAAAGTAACCGGATTTTTACAAAATTTCCGATCGGTGAAAGTTGCCACGAATGAATCCTCTTAAAATGCCAACTGTTTTTTTTTCTCGCACGGAAGCGACGTATAATTTTGAAATGTGCCCAGGGTACTTACGCAACGTTAAAAGTTATGCACATTAAATTTGTATATCCAAAATCCAAAATACAAAATCAGTGTAGGAAAAAGAGTCGTATTAACTGTTGTTGTACATCGACCGGCGTTGGTAATTGGGCGCGAAAAAGCTGTCAAAACAAGTGTTCAATAACGCCGCTAACGAGTTTGTTCCAAGTAAGAGCGTTTCGCGGCCGCGAAAATCGGCGCGGAAAAATATACGCAGGAAATACGTCAGAAGGAAGGTTTACCACTCGAAGATCAAGGCGAAGATATTATAACAACAAATCGCGGCGATGTTCGTCGAAAACGCCAGCCAGTCGCGGCTCCGGCGAAATAATAAACGTTTTCACGCTGGAGCGCGGGTCACCTTGGCGAGCGCATTCCCATCTTCGCCGGACAGCTCGACGTCCAGCTTTCTCGTTGGCAAACGACCCGAACGAGGATAATCCAGGAGGATAATCCAAAGAGGCGCTAACGACGCTATTATCTCGGGCGAAAAAAAGGTAGTTGCGCAATCGAGCTGCGCGCCTCGCCGGGAGCCCCGGGATCGATGGCTTTCGAGGCGCGCTCGACCGATCGCGGATTGAACTTGAGAAAACGCTCTCCCGCGAGAGCGGTGAGCGCGTGACGCAACGCTGCGCGCCGCCGGCCGACGCGGCCTCTTCGTATTACGCGAAATTTCGGACTTTCTACCGCGTTTTCAATCGGCCGCGGCGCGCTTACGTGAACGCGCGTCTTGAGTAACGCCGTCCAGCTAACGCCGTCCGCTCTTCGTTTGCTCGCGGCGACCAACGCTCCCGCGGGGTTGTCGTTAAGGGTTGGGCTGGTCGGCCCAGTCGGGAACGTGCCACGCATCGCGTCGTCGCGACAGTCACTTGTGCCTCGCCAGCTCTCAAGGCTTCCAGCTGCGCCCGACGACCATTTACTGACGAAACTTTTAACGACGGGCGATTTACGGCTGGCGACGATTTATATTCGGCCGCCAATTAAAGTGCTCGTCAATTCTCAATTATTGTGCTTTTCTCGTTTTTCTGATGGGAAGATCTTCCAAATTCTTATCTACGCTAATGGCTAATCCTTATCTGGATCTAAGAAGACTATCGCTGCAGGATTTTCGATACTCTATTAATTGTATGCAAATTTTTAAATAATTAGTTTTGTTGTACGAAAAAATGTGAATTTATTACGAAATTTATAAACTTTATTTTTAGTCTTACGAAAAGATATCTCTGTGTAAATGTATTATATCAAATCAACAGATTCTAATTGATACTAATTTTTCGAACTTGATCATTTTAAGCTTTTTGAACACTTGCCTTTTATTTAAATTTCTACGCAATATTCATTACTAAAATAATATAAAAATAATATAGACACTAACATTTAAAAAAATTATTATTTTTCTTTTCAAAAAATCGGAATGAATGGAAAACACTCGCAATACAACATTGCAATGATAAGATATTTTCATGAAAAATAAAAAAAATGAAAAAAAAAATAAAAATTTAGAATGTTTAAATAAAATAAAAAATATCCAAGATCAAACGTTTTATTATTTACAATTAATGCTCTGGTGATATATAACGTGGAAAGATTTCGTTTGGAACTTTTCGAAATATTAATTACTTTGTTGTGAATATTGTTGAATGAACATTCCACTACGCAAGTCACGTCGCGAAAAAATGTTATTCCGCTTTTGTTAAATTTACTCTGTAAGTTGTAACAGATTTCCTTATTTTTTAAAGCCGCGTACACGTGACTGCACAAACCAATGTGAATTCCCATCATTCCCGGTGCTAGGTACCTATCTTACAGTTTTCAAGCCCGCCTTAAAAAAATACAAACGCGAGAGGTGGAAGTAGATGACGATTTGAACGATACTTAGATCGCAATGAGTCGCCGGCGAATTGCCGCGGCGGAAAAAGGAAAAGAGAGCTAAAACCAAAACCGCGTCGTTTCAACGGCGTCGCCGCTCGTCTGGCGCACAATAACGATCAGACGATGGGAAAAACCGTTGCGGCTGAGAGGAAATTCAAAAATCCGAACGACGCTTAAGAAAGTAACCGCTCGCTTAGGCGCACCGTAAAAAAGGCTTTCTCCCAAGGCGCCGCTAGAAAGCATGTAAATTCGTCACGTTCACCAAATGCATCTACGCGTATCTAAACCGCCGCACACGTACCTGAAGTAGCAGCAGCAGCAGCAGCAGCAGCAGCGGCGGCAGCGGCAATGACGGCGGCGGCAACTGCAAGCGAACGTTTGCTCTCAAAACTGCAGCTTCTCCACGATCATGATCACCCACGAGACGACAATGACGAAAGCAGGAGGGAAAAAAATAAAAGAGCGACGAGACGAATCGAAGGCGCAGGCGAATAGGTAGACACAGAAAGCGGAGAAAGCGACCGCGCGAGAACTGTCCGTTCCAAGCGTCGCGCCAGGACTGAGCGCACTTTCTTGCCGCGAGTCGGCGGCTATGCCGGAAGATTACCGTGGCGCTCACGTCGTGTGCTCTCGCTTCTCAGGAGCGGCCTTTCCAGCGATCGTCCCTTGAATTAAACGCGCTCGCGACGCTGCGGCACTCCGATTGTCACTCGAACCTGGCCGCCGAGCTTCCGTTATTTATATAAGCCGATTGCCGCTCGATCAATTGGCCGGCGTCGCGCTATAAGGCGAACCCGACCCCGACCCCGACCACGTTTCGCGCCACCATTTCCATCTCGCGCGTATCGGCCGCTATCGCGATTTCGATCTAAGATTTTTCGCTCGTCGCTCGTTTTTCCTCGATCGATACATCGCGCGAGCTTTTCCTCGTGCGATCGATCACCGCCGCGCGCGCGATTTACAACCCTCGACCGGCTTATCCGTCGCGTCGATAAACCTCGCCAATTATGATGCGCCGGCTGGCTTCTCAATAACGCGCATGCATATCTGCGATTGCGAGCGCTCGCTGACAAAGCCGTTTCCCTCGGGCCAATTCTTCCTCGGGAGTACGCGCCGCGATCGAGCCGTCAGTTATACGCCGAGTCCAGTCGAGCCTGACGAGGCGCTGCTACCCGCTCAGCTGCTGGCAAGGTCGGCTCACGTGCGCGCGATCGTATTCACAACTCCGAGAGAAACTTAAACGCCAGCACTGACAGTCTGCGTCGCGCGTCAACGTCGGTGTGCGCGTGGACAGCCTCGCGCGGTTCAACCAAATTAATATACGATCCAGACGACCAAGACGAAAATCATATCTATGATGAAACGAAATTGAGCCACGACAAGGCAAGCCATGCATCATCCCGCGCTGTACTTGAACGCTCGTTTGCCCGGCGATTCAATCGCGAAGGAAAGAGAAGCGTACCCGCACTGCGCTCGATCATGCGGCCGTGTAGTGTCGAAAATCCAGAGTCCGTTTGGCAATCCTCGGCCTCGGCGACCAGATGAGATTGGTTTTAGCATAAATTAACGCGTCTGCCGTCGCCGCCACCGCCTTCTCCTTTTTCCAAGTTACACAATGAGATATACCAATGAGGATTTTTCTCAATATGCATGCTCGGTGTCGACATGGATACCGCGAGAAAAATCTATGAATTATTACGAAGCCGCGCGAGCGCGCTGCACAAACGCTTTCGTTTTCGCTGCGGCGTGGCGTTAAAACAAAAACAAAAACAAGATCTGCACGAGAGAGGAAGACACTTGTGGCGTTGCGCAACGTAAACACGCCAACCCCCTCGTGCCTGCGCTTGCGGAGCTAGGCTTTACCTTCAACGCGCCATCGTAATTTTTACGTTTATCTTCGCGAACAACGCCGCTTCACTCGGCGTGGACACGTTTCTGCACGTGTACGCGAATGGGAAGAGAACTACTCTTGGACGTCGTTTCTTTTGACGTGCAAGCAAGCACCATTTCATAGACTGGGTCAAACACGTGATGAGTGCGCCTTTCCCGATAAGCTTCTGAACCAATAAAACTATTAAAAGATGATGCGTGGAAATTGCTGCAAGAAGCTTATCGATGTATGATTGATGAATTATAGATAATCTGAGATGCTTTTAAATGCTCTTGTAACTTTAATTCGTAAAGATCATGAATTAACGTAAAGCGGAATTCGAATAAATAATTAAGTCATCAAACTTGATGAATATTAAATGATAAAGACGAAATGTAAAACGGATGTTTAAGGATAAAACGTGGAATTTTATTATTGGCTTAGACTCGTCAATCAACTTTTACCGTTGTTGCGTAGCAGTCGAATGAACACGATATATAGCATTGCGTATATCGGCGTAGCGATTAAATTTATATATATGACACGAGTTCCCTCGACGATCATCCGTTCCGAACGGTCGTTCACATAAATAGGCGGGCTCTTGAGTACAATGTTGAAAATGTATTTTAAAACACTTACAGTTTTGTAAACTCAGACCGGATAAATTCGTATCGTTTGTCGGTGATCGATGTAGTTGTGAAACTCTCTCTTCCTTTGCTCAAGAATCGTATTTAGCAACGAAACGCTAGAATTCGTTTGTTAATATCTAATCGACTATTTTTTATGTTCAATAATGAGACGATGTAAGAGTTTTAAAGAATGTCCCGTTGTCCCGTTTCAAAAACGCCTACAAAAAGAAATTGTAGTACACGCGACAATAAATATTTTCCAGCAAGCTATTCTCGGACATTCAATTTTATCCTCCCTTACGTGGTATGAAAAAAAAAATAAAAATCTCAAAGTATCACGGAATGTCTATTTTGAATACCATTAAAATAAGGAAAAGACGAAAAATAACTTTGGAAGCGAGCGATGACGACATTGAAAGCAGTGATAGACAGAACGGTGATAGCTCCCGGGTTGACTGTACTATATTCAGGACTCCAATCGAGCGAAGGCCATTTTTGCGTATGGCAAGGTCGAGGTCCACGGACGGCAGATGAAGCAGCACCATTAAGATGAAAATCGTTTGCGCCTCCCTTGAATATTAATAAAAGCGCGTTCCTGACGTAAGACTTTCGTTCGCTCTAATTAACGTTCAAGTTCACAAAAGTAGTTCCATGAACTCGCGGCACAGTCGTTTTCATTTTGTTGGTTGGTCAATATTTTCGAGCATCATCAATCACGCTTAGGAATGCTCGAAACGTATTCTTTAGTAGGTGGATTTCGCAACGGTTGCCGATACTAATGGCAACCCCCGTGTTGATTTTCAAATCTATTAAACAAGACACGACCTGACTTATTGAGAATCGTTCGTTAGAAATAAAAACTTTCAAAGTGCCACTCTCCTTCAGTGTCGATATAGTTGAAAGAAGATTTCTTCGATTCAAACCTCTGATCAATTGAGTCAATTAAAAATGCAGAGTAATAACAATTATTTAAGAATTCCACTAATTCAAGAAAAAATTGTCATTGAAAGGTTCAAACAACCGGTTTATCACGTAAGTCGAATGTATGACCTATATTTGAGTTGGGTCGACAACCTTATGTGGTCAAGAACGATCTTAAAAATCAGTTTTCTAATAGGTTGATATATGAGAGGCACCACTTTCTGGTTGTCCTTGACTCTGTATAATCAATGTACATTTAATAAAATTCAAAGCTGTCGGAAGCAGTTGGTATGCGCGGATGTTCCATTCCATTTTTGGATATAATCTCTATGATTAGTTTCTTAGATTATCTATAAAAAATCATCGCAAATGTGATTTACATTGTAATTACATTACCCTCTATTTTTTTTATTTAATAATTAAGTTAAGTATTTTCAAAAATACTTTGCAATTTCTACGGGTGGTTGATTACCGACGAATGAGTAGTGAAATACCAAGGCCAACGAGATGCCGATTTCCCGTTTAAGTTAAAATATATTCAAATTTTAAGAGTCGCATCAGAAAAAGATTAGTCGATATTTCTTTCGAAATTTTTTAATTATCAAAATATCTTAGATATTAGAACATTATTTACGTGCGATCACAAACAGCCTAAATAACAAAGTTTTGTTGACCATAGTTTTGGAAGTACCATAGTTTTGGAGTTCGATACTTGTGCGAGAAGTCATATTATTTTTCACATAGTCTCTTTTACCCTCGCATTGCTCGGGCGCGAACGTCCACGCGAGGATCAAATCACTTTCTCGCACTATCGCATCCAAACGTACCATTGAAAAAGTTTGTTAACACAGGAGCTGAAAAACAAAGCTTGGCAAGTAAATTTTAAGTTACTTGCTGCCGTTTACATTCCGACATGCAGAAATAATTTGGCTTTAACGTTTAAGCACTCTAACAAAGAAAATAATCCTCTCGTCGCATTAGCATATTCTACCGTAAAATAAGCAACCTTGGCGGAAACCTCGCAATGCCAATTAATCGTGCCTAAAGCAACGGCGGCAGCGAATCTTCACGAGAGACATATCTGCCTGTCAACGTACGACTCCAATCCATTGCCGTTCCAGCCTAAATGTGCGACAATCTTGCACTCACCGCACGTCTCTTTCTGTTGTTGTAATCACCGAAACGGATGTTTTCGTTTATATTCGAATAATGGATTTTTAATAGTCTAAATATGAGATTTTATTCATAGGTGGCTATTTCGCGTAACAATTAATCAACGAAGATTACGCAGATTGCATTGTTACACGTGTCTTCGAATAGAGTTTATACATCCAAGGCGATACTAATAAATTGATTGGAAGAGCACCAAAAAAACCTTTTAATTAACGTTTTTTTTTAACATTGTACGTTTATGTCGTCATAAGCGAGACTAAATTGCTACGGTCTACGGATGAAAGACACTGTAAAAGATCGATAAAATGTTTGATATATTGCCGTTGCTCGTATAACGTATTAATGTTTCCAAGGTAACCAAATTTCACAATTGCTGCGGAAGGTAAATCTCGCAAAAGTCAAAAGGATGAGTTAAAAAAAGAAAAATGCGATTTTTATTTTCATCGATGACGCGAAATTCGCGGAGAGATAAAAGCGCGCGATTGGACAATGGAAAACGGCGCCACCCCTACCGTGCCCGGCAGAAAAATGTCTTGATTAGTAATAAGGACGCTTGGCGATTGAAAGAAAAAATAAAGAAATAAATAGAAGCGCGGGCAATCGATAGAAGATGCGAAGCCGCGCATACGAATGAGACAGGCTTTTCAGAAGCATCGTCATAACTCGCGGAGAGCCGCAGGCGCGAACGCCCATGCGACGAGGCCTTGAAAGAGAAAGCCGCGCGAATGGAGCAGCGCGCAAGTAAAAATCATGCGTACTCGCGCGCGCGCGATACGTGCACCTTGCCGCGGATGCACCAACTCGTCCTTGAAGCCTGCTTGTGGACACTTATGCCGTGGCCCCGATCCAATGATTATTTATTTTTCGCCCGGCCGCGGCGCATCGCCGTCGAATTTTGCACGTTTGCGAGCACAACTTTGGACGGACGCGTCGAAGGACCCCTTTTCAAGCGATTTCCGCTTCGAACTCGTG